TCTGCAGCCTAATGACCCTGGTAAATCTTCAGCCTCCCTGATGAGCTGGAGTTCAGAAGGACATTTCCAATAAAAAAAAAAAAAATTAAACCCAGTCTCAAAATATTCTTGTATAAAATATAGCTGTAGTCTGAGCTAGAAATAGCTTTACTTTAAACTGTGCTTTGAAAAGAAGCTAGCTGGCTTTAGGAAACAACATGGGAGTTAAAGATTGTTCATTTTTATTAACTTGTTGAGTCAAGTCCACACTTGAACAAATAAGTAGAATTTTTATTTTGCGTAAACTAACTGTTTACCAATTTTATTGGACTTAAAATCACTTACTTTTACCACTTAGGAACAGGGCTAGGTCACAATAAACCAAGAAGGATTCAATATCCCTTAAATTTAATTAATTCATTCACCTAAACGCATGACATACTGGGCGCATCTGCACAAGATGCTTAATGTGCAGTAATCTAATAATACTGAGCAGTACTGTGCCAGGGCAAAAAGTGTGCTAATATGCTACTGTCTAGTAGTATTAAGCTACTGTGTGTAGGCATCACAAAAAACCAAAAACAACAATGTGCGCTAGTGCTAATGCACAGTAACTGTAGTTACTGTGCATTTAGTTAGTACTTCATTAAGTAAATACAAAACTAAATGCTCAGTAACTACTGCTGGGTTCTTGGTTGTAGCCAGGTTGGTAAAAACACATAGGCAGGGAAGGTTCATTGAGTACATGTGTTATCTTTTATTAGACCAGCTGAGTAGGTGGAAAAAAATTGTTGGTAAGCTTTCAGATGCAATCACCCTTCCTCAAGCATAGGGGGTGTTAGGGTAACGATATGGATTTTGGGAAGTGCTGGGTGTGCAGCTGAATAAAAGGTTTTTTCCTGTGTCTCAGCAAAAGCCACTGGTCACAAGGCTGGATGATATATTAAAAGCAACTAACTTTGCTAATGCTTAAGTAAGCGGTTTCCTAACAAAGGATAGGGTGCAAAGCGCATGATGTGTTGGGTAAGAATAGGATACAGACCAACGGTTATCATTAGGGGACAAAAGAGAAGTACGGCCTTGGAAATGGTGTTGAAGTCAGCAAGAAAACTAGAAAGAACCAGCGAGAAACCACAAGTGACTGAAAGAAACGGAGATCAAAGTCTTAGGCACGTGCTCTTAGCAGAAGGCATGTAAATCAATGAAAAAAATTGTTGATAAGCATTCAGATGCAATCACTCTTCTTCAAGCATAGGGAGTTTGAGAAGTCATTCTCCCCTTGTTCTTGGCCTTAGTGAGGCCGCAGCTGGAGTACTGCGTCCAGTTTTGGGCTCCACAATTCAAAAAGGACGTGGAGGAGCTTGAGAGAGTCCAGAGAAGAGCCACGCGCATGATCAGAGGTCAGGGAAGCAGACCCTACGATGACAGGCTGAGAGCCCTGGGGCTCTTTAGCCTGGAAAAGGTAATGATATGGATTTTGGGAAGTGCTGGGTGTGCAGCTGAATAAAAGATTTTTTCCTGTGTCTCAGCAAAAGCCACTGGTCACAAGGCTGGATGATATATTAAAAGCAACTAACTTTGCTAATGCTTAAGTAAGAGGTTTCCTAACAAAGGATAGGGTGCAAAGCGCATGATGTGTTGGGTAAGAATAGGATACAGACCAACGGTTATCATTAGGGGACAAAAGAGAAGTATGGCCTTGGAAATGGTGTTGAAGTCAGCAAGAAAACTAGAAAGTACCAGCTAGAAACCACAAGTGACTGAAAGAAACGGAGGTCAAAGTCTTAGGCATGTGCTCTTAGCAGAAGGCATGTAAATGAATGAAAAAAATTGTTGGTAAGCTTTCAAATGCAATCACCCTTCCTCAAGCATAGGGGGTGTTAGGGTAATGATATGGATTTTGGGAAGTGCTGGGTGTGCAGCTGAATAAAAGATTTTTTCCTGTGTCTCAGCAAAAGCCACTGGTCACAAGGCTGGATGATATATTAAAAGCAACTAACTTTGCTAATGCTTAAGTAAGAGGTTTCCTAACAAAGGATAGGGTGCAAAGCGCATGATGTGTTGGGTAAGAATAGGATACAGACCAACGGTTATCATTAGGGGACAAAAGAGAAGTATGGCCTTGGAAATGGTGTTGAAGTCAGCAAGAAAACTAGAAAGTACCAGCTAGAAACCACAAGTGACTGAAAGAAACGGAGGTCAAAGTCTTAGGCATGTGCTCTTAGCAGAAGGCATGTAAATGAATGAAAAAAATTGTTGGTAAGCTTTCAAATGCAATCACCCTTCCTCAAGCATAGGGGGTGTTAGGGTAATGATATGGATTTTGGGAAGTGCTGGGTGTGCAGCTGAATAAAAGGTTTTTTCCTGTGTCTCAGCAAAAGTCACTGGTCACAAGGCTGGATGATATATTAAAAGCAACTAACTTTGCTAATGCTTAAGTAAGAGGTTTCCTAACAAAGGATAGGGTGCAAAGCGCATGATGCGTTTTGTAAAAATAGGATACAGACCAATGGTTATCATCAGGGGACAAAAGAGAAGTCCGGTCTTGGAGATGGTGTTGAAGTCAGCAAGAAAGCTAGAAAGAACCAGCGAGAAACCACAAGTGACTGAAAGAAACGGAGGTCAAAGTCTTAGGCACGTGCTCTTAGCAGACAGGCATGTAAATGAATGAAATGCATAGGCAATACCATTCTAAGGAAGCAAACAGTAAACAGAGGCATGGCCTGAGATGGGAGGAGAAATGGGTGGAACTGAAGGAGGGACATAGGTGGAGTGAATTTTAATAAGTATGAACCAAGATGTATAATATGTGGAAAGAACACAAAGTTATGGGAGCACGTGCTCTTAGCAGACAGGCATGTAAATGAATGAAATGCATAGGCAATACCATTCTAAGGAAGCAAACAGTAAACAGAGGCATGGCCTGAGATGGGAGGAGAAATGGGTGGAACTGAAGGAGGGACATAGGTGGAGTGAATTTTAATAAGTATGAACCAAGATGTATAATATGTGGAAAGAACACAAAGTTATGGGAAGAAGCGGACACACCGGAGGGCAGGGAACAGCTACAAGCAGACCTGGACAGGTTGGACAAGTGGGCAGAAAACAAGAGAATGCAGTTCAACAAGGAGAAATGCAAAGTGCTGCACCTAGGGAGGAAAAATGTCCAGCACACCTACTGCCTAGGGAATGACCTGCTGGGTGGCACAGAAGCGGAAAGGGATCTTGGAGTCCTAGCGGACTCCAAGATGAACATGAGTCGGCAGTGTGACGAAGCCATCAGAAAAGCCAATGGCACTTTATCGTGCATCAGCAGATGCATGACGAATAGACCCAAGGAGGTGATACTTCCCCTCTATCGGGCGCTGGTCAGACCGCAGTTGGAGTACTGCGTGCAATTCTGGGCGCCGCACTTCAAGAGGGATGCGGATAACCTGGAGAGGGTCCAGAGAAGGGCCACTCAGATGGTTAAGGGCCTGCAGACCAAGCCCTACGAGGAGAGACTAGAGAAACTGGACCTTTTCAGCCTCCGCAAGAGAAGGTTGAGAAGCGACCTTGTGGCTGCCTATAAGTTCATCACGGGGGCACAGAAGGGAATTGGTGAGGATTTATTCACCAAGGCGCCCCTGGGGGTTACAAGAAATAATGGCCACAAGCTAGCAGAGAGCAGATTTAGATTGGACATTAGGAAGAACTTCTTCACAGTTCGAGTGGCCAGGGTCTGGAAGGGGCTCCCAAGGGAGGTGGTGCTCTCCCCTACCCTGGGGGGCTTCAAGAGGAGGTTAGATAGGCATCTAGCTGGGGTCATCTAGACCCAGCCCTCTTTCCTGCCTGTGCAGGGGGTCGGACTCGATGATCTATTTAGGTCCCTTCTGACCCTAACATCTATGAATCCATGAACTGATGTTCGGGGCAGCTCCCCGGTTTGTTGTTTTTTGGGATCTAGTCCGAAGCTGCCTCCATTCTGAATAAAGCTGTTGTGAGCAATGTGTGCTGGTGTTTGCTCCCTGCTTGCTCTGGCTAATGAGTAACAGGATCCATGGGCAATTGGATCATCATCTTCCTAGTTGTTGGGTGCCGCATGGAGTCGGGGTCTAACAGGGAGTCTCTGCTCTTTTGAGACTCCAAGGATGAGTCTCAGAACAGCAGAGACTCCCTATCCCTGAATAAGGGTGACTGTGCCCAAAAGTTTGCCAAGAACTTTTCCCCAACTACTCAGTTGGTCTAATAAAAGATATCACATCTATTCAAAGAAGCTTGCCTGCCTATGTCCTTAGACCAACACGGCTGCAACCAATAAAATACAAAAAAAGATATCACATCTACTCAGTAACTACTGAGCATTAATGAATATGTAGATGTGCCCACTGAGAAGATTTGCTATTAATTATGGAAAACAGTCTCTTGGCTTGACGCAGCACTTTCTGGGCAGTCTCTTGGCTTGATGCAGCACTTTCTGTGTTTAGGAGTCAGACTAGATAGTCATTTGCAGTTTTTAATATTGCATTTAAATATTTAATATTACCAAAAAAGAATGACCCTCTCAGGGTGAGCCCATTCATTTTCCTCCCCCCAAAATGGGCTGCTTGTTTGCTTGCAAGGTATTCTATTTTTGCTCGCTTTCCTGTATTACCCGGTACCTTGGAGTCCCAGTCATGAGCCAGGACCCCAGTGCAATGATCTCTGATGTGTGGTCAGAACCATGAATGACTGAAATAGTGGGAAGGGTCCAATCTTTCAATTAGCATTAATCTCCGCCCCCAGCCATTTAAGATTCAGCCTATCTTTCTCTGGACAATACGATTAATGTTGTCATTAAAAGTAGTTAATGATCAACACCAAAAAAGAGCCCCTTGAGGGCAAGCTTCACCCAAACACATACCTGGAGAGTACCCAGAGTTGTCTAATCAATTACTATGAGTGGTGATGGTGCCCATCACTCTCCTGTCCTTCAAACTCCAGACCAGGCTCCAGTTCTGCTTTGGTTGACTCTTTAGAGGATCTTTCTTCTCTCTCCTTAGGTCCATCTCCTTGCAGATGGCAGCCAATCCATTCCCCACACGGGAGTATTTCCCCAGCAGATGAGGCTGTGCCAAGGAGCTACTTCCCATCACAAACATCAATGGAAATCAGGTGAGTTCCCTCCCGAGTGGCCCTGCAATCTCATGTGCTGGAGCAGGAGCAGCTGTTTGGCTCAGGTCACTGACTGGTGTCCCTGTGCTTGAGGGGTCATGGGTTTGTGCAGTCCCAGAGCTGGGAGGGAGCAGAGTCTGAAGCTTGTGTCCAGGCAGCAGGGAAGGCAAGAGTGCTGGTCTGGGAAAGGTGAAGAACTGCAGTTATAACTGGAACTGTATGTCTATCTAATCTAGGGGCTGGCGATTATTTCAGCTGGAGAGCCACTTACTGAGTTTTGGCAAGCTGTTGAGGGCCACATGGGTAGCCCCGCCCCTTGACAGGTGCTCCACCCCCCTGGTCGCCATCTTGATACAGGAAATATGCACTCTAACCCCTGACCTCTGCCACTAGAAGTCCTTTCTCTTGCCCCGGGAAGTACTCCTTTCAGCAAGGGGGTTTGCCATCTCGGAACCAGAAAAAATACCAAATTATATTCTAAAAATCAAAAATCGAATACAACATTCATTCATTTGATTAAAAAATATATTTTTGTCTGCTTTACATGTATTTGTGTAGTGTACATAGAGGTGATTGTATAATAGCTTAAAATGAAGTCTTACTCTTGTATACTGTGGGGAGGTGTGGGGGTATTGGTAGGTGGGTAACACTGGTGCCTTTTCATCTTTGACAGGCAGCCAGGGGCAGATAATAATTAATTTTGTCAATTTTTTAGGGGCGCCGCAGGGCAGCTAGAATGGCCTGGAGGGCTGGATCCAGCCTCCAGATTGTATTTTGCCCACCCCAGTCTAATCCAATCCAGGGCTTTAGGGTTGCCAACGCTGTTTGAATCTATTCCGGGAGGTTTCATCACATGACATAATGACATTAATGCCTGATCTACTGTACTCTACTCAGGAAATCCAGTGCACATTACTATTATATTTTAAAAACCCACTGAATTACTGTATAAGATAGAGTCAACATTTAATATTTATTTTATGAATGCCCTATCATTTATCTCCTGAGTGACCATCAGCAGTCTTCTGGAGATTTATATCTAATTCTTGGAGATGCCAGGGCAATTTTGGAGGATTGGCAACCTTGGTCGGACCCCTTGGTGTTGGCCTTGTCCACACAGTGCAGCAGATGCCCCCTCCCCTGCAGAGCTCCTTGTTACATGTCTCCACGACATTGACAAAGAAATGACTCCAGGCACAAGCCTGGGCAAAACTGCTGCCAGAACAGGTGGCACAGAGGCTGTTGTGAACATTAAAGGTGTACATGCATTGGCATTAGCAGATTCAACAGAAAATAACTTTGGATTCAGACATGCAGATTCAACACATCACACATCTCACACTCCTGCTTTGAATGGTTGATGAAGGTTTAGAGTGAGGAAGGGGCAGGACACTGTGAATATGCAATGGCAGCAGACAGTCTGTTAGGTTCCAGACTGACCCTGCCTGAAGCCCCAGCTCCTGGAGTCCCATAATTACTTCAATTTCAACTTGCTTTCTTTTTTTTTTTTCCTGTTTCTAGTCAGCGTGATTAGAAGAAAGACCTTGAAAATGTGACCAGTGCCATGGATAGCCTCGGAGCCAGAGACACCTGCTGTAAGAAAGGGAATTGCCCCCAGATCTGACTCCCCACCTCTGGAGACTGCTACTCACCTCTGCACAGCAGGAGATTATTTGTGGTGGAGGAGTCCCCACCCAAAGCAGATGCCCAGTCCTCAACCTCTCTGACATGAAGATCACAGAGCAAGAACAGCTGACTCCTGTGGCTCCTTCAGCCAGGGGGACAGAGGCCACTGCCCAAAACACGGAGCTGAGGGTTGCAGAAAATGCTGTGCAGTAGGAGTCCAGTACGAGAGTGATCTTCAGTAAAGCGGAGAGGGACGGGGCAAGAACCAATGCTGGATCCTACAGACAGACAAATCAAATGAGAAACAGGAGACATGTTTAACAGCTTGTTGGTTGCAGGATCCCTTTCCCCAGGGAAGCCAAGGAGTATCCATCTTCACCTGTCTTCACACCCCATCTGGCTGCCTTTCTGGAAGATGGTTACTGAGAGTCCTGGACTTGGTGCAGGGTCCTGGTATGGAGTTGTGGCCCGTGCCACGTCCAGACTGGAGGAGCTTTCGTTCCATCCTGAGCTCTGGAAGCAATGTGGGAGATGAGAGCAATGGCTCATGGCCCCCTCCCTCTGGATATTTGATCTCCTTGGACCCTGGAACTGCCTGTCCAAGTACTGAGGGGAAGCTGGAGGAAAATTGAGGCATGACTCCCAACCAGTGCCAGACCAGGTAAGGCTCTGGATGTTTTTAATACTATTTTGGAGCTAGTAAGAGAGTTGCTGTTCTGGGATTTGGGGAGAGGCAGTTGATCTGTTTGTGATGGTCTTTTGGGGGGTCTTTAGGGGTGATGCATATGTGGCCGTCAGCTGAATTCCTCTCTTCAAGGAAGACTTTGTAGCCTTCCAGAGAGAAGAGTTGTTTGGATTTTGTGAGTGTGTGCGTGGGCTGTGCTGTGCTCACATCAGGGAGAGTGGGGGAAGAAGTGGCCTTCACTGTTGATGGAAAGTGTGAGGTTTCTCCCAGTTCTTGGAGACCTTCATTTTCCAACAGATCCAGCTCAGTCTTGGAGAATGCTCTCTCTCCTACACATGTGAGCATTGAGCTAGGAAGCTCAGCAGTGCTCACACAGTAAAAATGGATGATATCTCTTGGGAGCCTTGGGCCTAGATAGTTAAGGACTTCCATGATGCTTTGCTGGGGTGGCAACAGCACAGCTGTTTTCTCTACAAGTGTTAGCCCCTAGGGCTGCTGTCCCAGTATTTCTGGTCACTCTTGGTTCTGCTTTGCTTTGTTGAGTTGTTTGAAAACTAAAGACCCTGAGATATTGAAAAATAAAGAGACTCCTGATACCAGAGAGAAACTTGTATTGTAGTAATTCCAAAACCAAGTAAGGAACTTAACAAATTGGAGGACTTGATCAAAAGAAATCTCATGGGGTTCAATACAGACAAGTTCAAAGTCCTGCACTTAGGTCCATCATTTTGGAACCATGATTTCTAGCTTTTCAGATTTCATACAGACCTATACCTTTATTAGACCAGGATTTAAAACAGGTTTAATCACTTTAAGCAAATACAATAAAAAATGCACTTTAAAGATATAAATGAAGACCAAACAGGTCCATAATGAGTAGGCAGGTGACTGATAATATCCGCAGAGTATTAGATCTGAGTTTCATTAGATCCGAGGCAGAGCTCTGGGCTCTGGGTTGGTGATAGCTGGGTTCTCGTGCTGTGTGAGAGCTGCGGGGATCAGAGGGCAAGGGCAGGAGGCCTTGCTGACATGTGGCATGGAAAAAGACATTTGTTGCCTGTCCGGGTCTGGCTGTGTTTGCCCCAGCCTGGGTGGATGTTGATAACAGACCAGGGAGAGGGCTGTGAAGGTGTCGTTGCCTACAAGAATTGGAGACGCCCATCAGGCTGTCACAGGAGCGTGATCCCTTCTGCCCAATGGAACATAGAGCTCCTCCCCTGAGGCATTTTGCCAGTTGCCGTATCTCTGGTTGCATCTTGTTTTCTCAAGCAGCCACTGAACTTGGTACCCTGAATGCCGGAAACTTCTCTATTGAAAGATGACTCAGGGGTAATGCAGATGACTTCCGCCAATGACGAGAAAATCCACCATTTTACAACTGAGACAGGGGTAAGGGCTAAGCCAGGTCCTTCTACCTCAAACAGGATGATGCTTAGAGTAGGCGACATGGAATCAGCTCCGGCTGCTGCAGGATGTGCTGGTGGCATTGTGTCATGTGCTTTTGCCTGCTGGTACGTTATTAAGTCTCCGGATAGAGGAAGTTTGTGGGCCTGCAAATTCAGGGCAGGGAGGGGTGAAGTCTGCAACCCATCGACCCACAGAGGCATCAGGGCTGTTTGCAGCTTCATAGGGCCCCCGGAGGAGGTTAGTAGATGGTGGGGTATGAAGTTCACTGCGTTCTGCTCACTATGAAGGGACGGACCTTGAGCCCCTGGTGGGGTGGCGGATGTGATGTATTGTTCACTAGTTCCTACACTCAAAACTCTTTCTTAAATTTTACTTTGAGAGCCTCTCTAGGCACACAGTTTGCCTTCAGCTGGGTCCCCATCCAGTGCTGTGCTCTCTTCCATGACTTAGTTTAACCCTTACTGGTATATTGTCACAAAGATATAACAGAGGGGTAAACAAAGTAGGTCTGGGCCATAGGCACCCACAACAGAAAAAGTGCCAAGAGCCACCCTGTTCTCATTCTCAGGGGTTTTGCAGAATGAATAGACTGAGGGAGAGTCCAGCAGGGGTGGTGCAGAGAGAGGCTTAACCCACCAGCCTCAACACTCGTCTTTCTCTTTGTTATCTCCTCCCAAGCAGCACCTTTTTCCTGCCAGCCATGCCCCAGATGCCCCCTGCCCAACAGGGACCCAGCAGTGGCACCAATAATGGTAAGTGCTAAGGAAGGATGGTGAGAGGGTCTGGGAAATGGGCACCCAAGGCCTTCCAGGGTATTCTTGCCAGGGAAGGAGGCAGGGTGGGTTGCCATCCCTTGGAGCTCCTGAGCCGAGCTTCTTTTGGCTTGTCCAAGAGCTGCTCTCGCTCATCCCTGATTTACTGGGTTGGATGCAGCAGTAACTTGGGAGGGTCTGTGACCTGAGCTTGCAGGACTCTAATTAAATGATCTTTTCTGTCTTTCACCTCAAGACAAACATCATTCCCTTGGTTCAAGCTCTTCCAGCAAAGGATTGTGTGGGTTTTGGGGAGAGAGAGGTGGAGAGATGAACATACTGTACCTCAGATTCTCAGTGAAATCTGCTTCACCTGCCACTTCCTCCCATTCCCACCTAGCCCTAGCCCAAGGTCCTATCTCAGAATGACAGAAAAGGAAAATGCCCTAGGCTGGAGGTTCCAGGGGGTTGTTCTGAGGACAGAAAGTCCTCAAGTTTAGGGGTTTCTTGCTCCCCTCCATCTCCCAGACTCCTAGATTGGGCAGAGGAAGGACACATTTCAGGGGATGACCTACCCAGGTTGCTGAGGGGCTGGTCCCAGGTGTCTTGGGGCACCTGAGATTCAGGGAAGGGAGGGACTCAGCTTCATTGAGCCCTGAACAGAACTTCTTTCCTCTCTTCCACCTGATGCCTTGCCTCAGCCTGCAGGGTCCAGGATGATGGGTACCAGGCCGTGGACACTCTTAGCAGGCTCACCTTAGGGTGGGCACTGGGGCAGAGTCCATTGGCTGCAGCTCTTCTGGGCAGGGGAGGGGCACAAGGTAAATGAGGAACTGGGGGCACTTCAAAGGGAAGTGGGGGTGTTTTTCATTGCCTCCCCAATTACAGGACTCCATGACCCACTGCTAGAAGGGCTCTGTCTGTAGCAAGCAGGCCTTTTCAAGCATCCCCTGGGGTCTGAAACCTGTGCTCAGGTGGGGTATGACCTCTGCTCCTCTGTTGAATCTTAACATTTCTTTGAGCACCTCCTGTCTCTGCTAATCTGCTGCTCAGAGCTGTCACTGCTGCTGACAAGGCAACCTGGAAGGAAGGGAGAGCATGCCCTGTCTGTCACTGGGGAAACCAGGACAGTTCAGGACTGGAGGTTGGCTTGTGCTGTCAAGATCCAAAAGCCATATGTAAATCTAGTTTTGGTGAGTGCTGAGGGCTCCAGTATTTCAACCCAAATCTGAGAATGCGTAGGCCGTGAGGATGAATTACAGCTGCTTTCCTAACAGGAGTTGGGGATGGCAAGAGATAGGTAGGTCCCTATCTCAGAGCACATCACTACACATCTGTCTGTGAGATTTCATCTGAGGGGCAGCAAGAGTGCTCCAGACTGTGAAGATGACGGTGAAGTAATATGGGGCCTGAAGGCCAGAATTGAGGAGCATGGGGGTAGGGGCAGGGCTAGAATAGTGTTGGGGGAGTTGCGAGATGGGATTGGAGGGTATTCATAGATTTGTGGAGGGAGGGGCTCTACCATGGAGTTGCAAAAGACTGGGGCATGTTGGGGTGATGTCTGTGTGAAGTGAGGTCTCTAAACTTAGCCTTATGCTGAGTCTCTTCAGGCCAAGCACTTGTGCACTCAGGTGGGCCCAAGGCATGAGGAGACCAACATGTACCCTATGAACCAGTGCGACTATCTCTTATTTGATTCCCAGGTGTCAATGATGCCTTGATTCATACTGTCCACGGGCCAGTCATCAATCTCATCTTCCAGCCACCTTTGAATATTGACCATGGATGCCTTCTTGGAGCAGAAATGAAGATGCGCCAAAATCTCCCAAATCAACTCCCATGCCAGGAGGAGAGCAGTGACATGGCGGTGGAAGAGCAGGGAGATGAGCCAATGGAAGTGGATTAGCTGGGCATGAAAATGAGCAAACTATATCTTGGCACTCTTGCCCCATCTTCACTATTCCAGTGCATACAAACTCTGTAGCTCTGTTCTATAGCATTACTTTGATTTTTATGTTAATGTATTGCCTATGGCTTTGTTTGAATGTTATACTTTCTTTTTTCCAAGTTTTAGCTTCATCTTTTTGGCATCCTCCTGGTGTTTCATAGATTCATAGTGTAACCTGGGTACACCCAAGGGTGTGCTCTAT